GGGGGGGTTTAGCGTCTAAGGACTTGTTTGGGAATAATGTTAAAGATAAAGATTAGTGTTAGCGTTTTGGATAAAAATTTAACGGTGCAGATTATTTTAAAAACAATAACGCTAAAAAATGCCCGTAAATAGCCTTTTCAAAACGCTAATGCTAATCTTTAACGCTCTCAATATAAGTTATATGACTGTGCAAAACTTAATGTTGAGGCTAAAACAATTTTAAGCCAGAATTAATTTATCTACGAAATATTTAAAAGAGAAATTTACTTAAATAGCACTAAAACATAATGACTTTCCCTAAATAGCACCACATGTGTTTTTCTTCCCAAAGTAGCACTTTTAGTCATTATGCATTAGTCATTATTCAAGTAAATATTCGTTATCACAAGACATTATGAACATTATTAAGTGCTATTTGAGGAATAAAACAATTTAAGTGTTATTTAGGAAAATGATTTAAGTTTTAGTGCTATTTAGTGCAAATATTTCTATTTAAAAAAGAGAGAGTATCTATTGCAGCAAACTTTAAGGAATTTGATGTTGATTATGATAGTTTGTCATTTTGTGACGATTTTAATCAGAGAAAAACAACATCATATTAGGTGATCAAACATTTCGTTCCATCTTTGCACCTAACTAAATCATTTGAAACATCACTTTAACGACAATTAATTCTTCATAATGACAAAAAAAGATGTGGCATCAATTTAAGATTATTTTGAAAGGTTGGCCCAAGCAAGAAGAGCATTACAAAATATATAAAAAATTATTTAAACATGATTAAACTTTTAAACAAATTTAAGACACAAACATATGATTAACATTTTTAATCAAATTATTTCTTAATTAAAAAAATTAAGCATAAATTTCATTTTAAGAAAAAAAGAAAATTATTTCTTCGAAAAAAAATTAAATAAAATATTTTCTTTCTAGATAAACAATACTAACGTTTAGGGCACTGGAAATACCCGTGAAGCCCCGAGGCTTCAAACTGGGGCTTCAAACCTTCTCTCTGTCACGTCAGCTTTAACTTACCTCACAGTTTCAGTGGAAATGGGTTTGAAGAACTAAGGCTTCAAACTTTCATTTTTAATATTTTAAATATACATCTTCTAAATTTAAATTAATAAAATTTAATTATTTAATTATTTAAAATAAACGAAAGGAGAATAGTGCATTAAAAAAATTACATTCATTAAAAAAAATATTACATCCATAAAAAAATACATTCATTAAAAAAATATTATATCCATAAAAAACAACACTACAAACAAATTACTAATTATTCGAACGATCGAAGATATGTTTGATCGCCGTTATTGCATTGTGAATCTCTCGGCTTCGAATTTCTTGGCGGTTTCTTCGTTTCGTTTTCTTCATCGATTTATTCGTGCATAGGCACCTCTTCGTCCGGGTTGTATTGACAAATCGCAAACTCGTTGTCCTTTTAAAATATATTTTAGAAATAATTATGATAAATAGAAAAATATTTGAAAGAATATTTAATATAATTATAGAGAAAAGATAGTGAGAGATATGTTTGTTTTGATTCAATCTATAGGTTTTTTTAATTAATTCTTTTTTTGTGATTAACAGCTAGAAGAGCCATTGGGGGAGGGGGAGACGCGCCAAATGTTTAACTCGTTGGAGCTGACACCCCATAACGCCACCAAGGGGCGGCGTTTAACGCCCAAAGGGCGTCAAACGGCGGTTGACGCCGGAGGGCGTTAGGCCCATTTCCATTGCTCTTATAGTATTTATTTGGGGAATTTATTTAAATAACACTAAAATATAATAACTTTTCCAAAATAGCATTATATGTTTTTTTCAATGTAGCACTTTTAACCATTATCCATTAGTCATTATTAAGTAAATATTCGCCATTACTGGACATTATCCCTCATTCTAGACATTATTAAGTGCTATTTAGAAAAAATAAAACAGTTTAAATGTTATTTAGGGGAATAACTTAAGTTTTAGTGTTATTTAGTGCAAAGATTTCAATTTATAAACCAGTTTTGGTTTTAAAAATCAAATTCCAATCTCTCAGTTTAACAAGCCCAGACAAAAGTACAAAACTATACAAGATTAATGTTGTTTCTTTACCATATACGTGTATCCACACCTCATGACAACAAATGGGAAGGCAAGAAGAGTTTCAAGACCGGAGCGGCGGAAGACAGCGAAAGTATGTCCCCTTGTCGGAGATGATAAACAACGTGGGACCCATCGACGGCTACCATCCCATCTTTACAGTGCCACTGAACCTCCATCGACTCGCCGTGCTTCACAAACCCGTGCGTGAGTCCTTTGTTTGGCCCATGGGAAATGGGCTCCCTCACAATGTATTGGAGTTCCTTTGACAGAATAGGCATTGCACACCCACCTGCAGATAGCATTGCTGCCGTTGATCCGGCAGAGGTTGACACTCTCAAACCACTTGATCTGCAATTGACCAAAGGGGAACTTGGTTCGCCGTCTTTCTCTATCCTGTCAATCATAAAAAAGAATTGCACAAGAAATTCGAACGCGTGATTTCTATGTTAAACAAGTTTCAGATATCATTTCAAGAAACCACCTGAACGAAAAGCTCAAGCTTGTGGTTGTAGGTCCATGAAAGGTTATAAGGTGATGCTTGCCTGAATGAGAGCCTTGACACCGTAGCCGGAGAAGGATGGGCAACCAAAATGTCATTAAGAGCATAAGTAGGCAGATGTTGTGAGTTGAGAGAAACTAGCATCCTTGACACTTCTGCAGGCTTAGTCCGATTCTCAAGAATATCATCCAACACCTACACTCAAAATAGTAAAGGAAAAGACGAGCAATTTTCATTGAGACGAGTCGATTGATACTCCGATATATATATTTATATTTATATAGATCTCAGCCCGGTGCTCGAAACATCCCCCTTGAGTGAGAGTCCCACCACAAGCTCTTATGTCTATATTGCCTTATCAATGAAATTGGTTTTATGAATGAATGGCAAGACCACCTTAACATGAAGACAACATAAAGAAAGTCATTGATTTCGACGAATTAATTCTGAGCGTAGGGCCCAATGCAAGATGACCAAACAGATGGAGAGCCGGGTTACCTGTTCAAAGTTATCAGCAGTGGCAGCACACAGATAGCCAGTGCTCCTTGTAGCATCAAAATCTTCATTTGATTCTTCTACCTGCTCCAGATGGTCATCCAGAATCTCAAATTATCAAAATGCTTAAGAAATGGTATTGAAATTCATGAGCTCTAGTGAATATCGTACAAAAAATAACCTCTCTTGGTTGAGTTGGATCCGAATTCACTCCAAGAACGGGAATCGTATCATCCATAAAATGGCTGGCCTGTAATAGCGTACCATCGCCTCCCACGGTAACAACAAGATCTACATCGTGAACCGGCTTTGATAACTCGTGACGGGAGATAGATATGCAATCGATTGACTTCTTCTTCAGCACACTTTGACAGAAACCTATTGCATCTCTGTGAGCTTGGAGCCTATTATCCAGATGCTTTAATATCTGCAGTAAGTTGAGAATATCATCCAAACATGAGTAAAGGGCCTATGGGTAAGGTTTGTTTGGCTGAAATAAAATAACTGGACCAATAAGGCAAAAGCTACTGAAACATTTGCTATCATCAATTCAGCCAAACACAACAGTGAGATAAGGATTAAGGTGATAAAACTCCAAGCTCAATATGACACTAACTTTATCGTTTTGAAAATGTTATCCAACGGTAGTTTTAAAGATTAACATTTTTACAGTTAATCAGCACGGAAACACCATTAAAAATTATCCAAAAAAACTTAATGCTAACCATAACCTATGTTCCCAAACAAAGTCTTGACTCTAAGATTTCCCATTCACATGGATCAGGCATATTATCAAACACCTGGAGGGTGCAAACATTTAAGTAAAATCTTTGACAGTAAAGAGTTTTATTTAATGGCAGTATGGAATTACCTTAGGGTTCTTGAGACGAGAGGAGAGGGAGCCATTAGAGTGCTGAGATGGGCAGATTACATCCAGAGGTTTTAGCAATACCAAAAATCTCCTTCTCGCCATTGTTTGCCGCCTTCCATTTTCACAGCTATTTATACGAGCTTCTGTGATGTTAACAAGTGGACTAATCAATCGTGTGTCCTGTTAAGGGCCCGTTTGGTTTCGAGGGCCCATTATGAGTCGGCCCATGCCGATTATCTATTTGGGCACGTAACCCAACCATCAAAATTTGGATTCAATCTAGACCCACCCGATTAAATTAAACAGGCAAAACAGCTCGGTCCTGACCCACCCAATTCCGAACCCAAATCGGGTATTTTCCGATTCACATTTCCGCTCGCTATCCCCGCTCCAGAATCCAAACCCTAACCTTATCCGGTTCGGACGATCCGATCTCCGCCAAACGTCTCCCGGAGCTCCGACATAGGCATACCGTCAGCTCAAGGTCCGACCATATAACCGGCGTGATTTTCTTTTTTTTTTCTTTTGAATTTTATCTTAGCTTTGTATAGTCATGCACGTAGTAATGCCTGATTGTATGAATTCTATTAATTAAGTGCATCTTATCTTGATCGCACGTACAAAAAGCTTTGAGTTAGTGCGAAAAAGAAGATAGCTTTTTCTGTATAAATTGTAAGAATATGGGGAGCATTTTATGTTCCTGTGAAACTGTGTTTTGATTTAGAGGTTTGTAATTTTTGTTTGGTCTAATTATATCATGACTTTGCGGATTGTTGTAGGTAAGCAGATACTTCACACTTGTATTGCATGCTTTCGATTTCTTTAAAGATCGTAACTATATGCTCTCTTTAGATGTGTTGCATTGTTGTAAAAAAATGTTTTTTTATCAGAAAGAAAAAACGAAATACAATGTGTTGATATTCTATGTGTTTCGTCGTTAAAGATAGATTGGGTGGAGTAGCATTGGTTCTATGCTATGGAAATTTCGAGCGAAACACCATCTAAGAGGCCAAAGCGGTTGACATCCGTTGTGTGGAACCACTTTGAAAGAATAAGAAAGGGAGAAATATGTTATGCTGTTTGTTTTCACTGCAAAAAGAAACTCAGTGGGTCGAGTAACAGCGGGACAACTCATCTGAGAAACCACCTCATAAGGTGTCTCAAGAGATCCAATTTTGACGTTTCTCAGATACTCTCAGCAAAGAGAAAGAGGAAGGATACAACCACCCTTGCTGTTGCAAGTGTCGCCTATGAAGAAGGGCAAAGAAAAGATGATATTGTTGTCCCCATCAGTTACAAATTTGATCAAGAACCAAAGAAGGAAGATGCCATTTTCCCTTTCAACATGGGGAGTGTTAATTTTGATCAAGAGCGAAGTAGACTAGATTATGCTCGCATGGTTATGCTACATGGCTATCCGCTGTCCATGGCTGAACATGGGGGATTTAAAACATTTGTGAAGCATTTGCAACCACTGTTTGAGGTCATGACTAATAGTGCCATTGAACTTGACTGTATGACCATTTATGCAAAAGAGAAACAGAAAATATACGAGGAAATACAGAATTTGCATGGAAGGATCAGTCTTGTCGCTGACACGTGGGTGTCACCTGACAATGGAAGGTATCTGTGTCTGACGGCTTACTATATTGATGAAGATTGGAAGCTGAAGAAGAAGATACTGAATTTTCTGACACTGAACGCGGATGACACCGATGATCTTCTTTCAGAACTTGTTATTAAATGTTTGACTGATTGGGCCATCGACCGGAAGTTGTTTTCCATGACTTTTGATGAATGCTCGGGCTACGATGACATGGTCTTTAGAATTAAAGACTGGCTATCTCAAAACAAGCCTCTTTTGAAGAACGGTGATTTATTTGATGTGCGCTGTGCATCAAGTGTTTTAAAATCCATAGTTCTTGATGTCATGGAGGCACTCCGAGGTCTGACCCATAAGATTCGGGAAGGTATAAGGCATGTTAAAAGCTCACAAATAACTCTAGGAAAATTCAATGAGATTGCTCGTCAAGTTGGGATCATCACTGAGAGGCATCTGGTTCTTGACTACCCAATGCAATGGCATTCAACATATATGATGCTCGAAGCTGCGTTAGAGTATAGAGGGGCCTTCTCTGTCCTACAAGAGAATGACGCTGACTACAAAATAAGTGTGTCTGATACAGAGTGGGAATGGCTAAGTTCCATCGTTGGTTATGTAAAACTCCTAGTTGAAGTCACTAAGACATTCACTGCAAACAAATATTTAACTGCAAATGAATATTTCCCAGATGTGTGTGATATCCAAATCCGATTAACAGAGTGGTGTAAAAGTTCTGATGAGTTTCTTGGTGATATTGCAACAAAGATGAAAGCCAAATTTGACCAGTATTGGAATAAATGCAGTCAAACGTTAGCGATAGCAGCCATATTGGATCCTAGATACAAGATGAAGCTGGTTGAGTACTATTATCCCCAGATATATGGGAGCGATGCCCCAAATCACATCAAGGTAGTGTCTAATTCCATAACACAACTTTTCAATGAGTATGCAATAGGTTCTTCCGCTTCACTGGATCAGGAACCTTCTGGGTCTGGAAATTTACATAGCAGCAGCTCTGTAAGTAGAGATAGACTTAAGGGATTTGACAAATTTTTGCATGAAACCTCACAAAGTCTGAGCGTGCCATCAGATTTAGCCAAGTATTTGGAGGAGCCAGTTTTTCCACGCAATTACGATTTCAACATATTTAATTGGTGGAAGGTTCATACTCCTAGGTACCCAATATTATCTATGATTGCACGTGATGTGCTGGGAATTCCTGCATCCACACTTGGATCAGAATTAGCATTCAGCAATAAAGTTAAGATGCTTGACCAGCACAAGAGTTTGCTCAATTCAGATATTCGAGAAGCTTTAGTTTGTGGTCAAGACTGGTTGCGTTTAGAAGCAGAAGGTACTTCTCTCTCCATCAATGACTGTAAAATATTTTGCTGTTTTCATTGTTTTCAAGATGCATCATTATACACTTAGTAACATATTGTTAAATTTCATGTATCAGAGACCACCCCATCCTGCAGCAACTATGCTTTACCATTGCTCATTGAGTCCAGTTAACAGCCAAGCGAATGCACGGTACATTTTGTTTCCTTGACCTTTTGTCACTTTGCTATTGTTTCTGTAACCAATCTCATTGTATTTATGATTCTTATCTCTATTCAAGGTTGGTTGAAGTATTGCTGGGTGCCGGTTATTGGCATATGTTCTATTTAGCTGCTACGCACTCTTTGCTCCAATTGCAATGCTGAACAACTAGACGAATCTGTAATTAATAGTACATTTTTACTATATGGGTATTAGCAGAATCTTGGTTTTCACCGATGAAAATATTATTGATTGCTTTGTCCACCCATTTGTTTCAATATTTAGTATTTGGATTTTACACAGAGATACCAATTGGTTGAGGTTCAAGAATAAGAAAAACAGATATAATTCACCGAAAATTCTCAAGTGATAGCTTTAATGACTATCCAGATATATATCAATAAATGCAAAAGCCAAAAACAAAACAAAACAAAACAAAAGAGCACGAGCTGAAGAATGATTATTTAAACTGATATGAGACTCCACAAAGGTTAAGAATCATTGAAGTTTATTTTGCTGAGGTTTTGGTTTTCCTGTTTGGCTCAAAGATGTGCTTGATAAGAGAGTCCTTGATTGGTAGCAGCTGAGGGAACTCTTTCTTCAACTTGGATGCATCCATCTCATTGTTACTTCGAGGTGCTACGATCACCTTTGCCTGCTCTTCCAGTGTGAAGTTCACCCAACTAAACTCTGGATCTATATACTCTCTGTACATCTCCAGAATTTCGTTGTGGCTCACTGCCCCAGGGTTTGTGAAGTTCCATATGCCCCTCAGGTTACGCTTCGCCATCTCAATGGAAATGGGCAGAAGCTCATCCAATATGGTCATACTGTTTGGAATGTTCACAACCTTATCGTAGTGTGAGATTTTGCTGATAAAGTTTCTAGGGTTTTTGAGGTCCGACGATATTGGCATGCGAATTCTGAGGCTGCAAACATTCTCGTATTCCATCAAGAGCTCTTCAACCTGGTTCAAGAAAGAACACCAACATCAAAAGAACAGATTTTTATAGGTTAATTAGAGTTGATGAAAGAAAAAGATTGAAAGGTAAGCAAAAGAAAAGCTTTACCATGGCCTTTGTCTTGGAATAGAAAGAAGCTGTGAAATTGGGTTTGTCCTCCTCCTTGAATCCGATCCCAGAACCGGCTGGGTGTGCATCATCATATTCAAATATACAACCAGTCGCGAAGTTCATCAGCAAGAGACCATACTCTTTGCACACATCAGCCAGTGTCAGCACACCAGCAACATTGGCGCGTATGGTTTCGGTCTTGTGAGTCTCACACCAGTCAATGTTGGGTCTACCAGTGACACCAGCAGCATTGAAGACATGGGTAGGCTTAACGGAGCGTATGTCACCCAAAAGCTGTGACCGGTCCTCCAAACGACCCTTTCCGTACTCGTAAGGAATCCCATCCTTCTCACACAACTTCCCAAGCAACCCACCGATCCAACCCGTTCTGCCATATATCAAAAACTTATAAGAATGTTTTTGGGACCCGTTTCTGGTTTTCGGATGTGGGATCACCATGTGCACGGGGTTGGGCTTCTCAGAGAGCTTGGATGATTCAGAATCATTCAAAGGCCTCTCTGCCCTACCGGGCATCATAAGCATCCTCGGGTGAGGAAGCAATGCACCAGATACATCTCCCCACCAATCAGGGTTCTTGGTATACCAATCGACCGTCTTCCTCAACCCATCCTCCCAAGTGGTTCCTTCTGACCAACCCAAGTTCTTCAACTTTTGGTCATCCAAGTAATATCTCTGGTCGTTAAACGGCCTGTTCTCCACAAATTTGATCTTCGTTTCCGGATTCATGCCAAAAAGCCTGCAAATATCACTCGCGACATCGATCACTCTCCTCTCCTTCTTTGTCCCTATGTTGTACACATGACCAACCTCCCCTCTGTGAAGAACAACCTCAAAAGCCTCAGCAACATCTTCACAGTACAAATAGCTTCTGACATTCGACCCGTCCCCGTGAATGGGGAGAGTCATCCCCTTCATAGCTAAAAGAATGAACTTTGGGATTAACTTCTCGGGGAATTGGTTCGGACCGTACACGTTATTCCCACGGGTTGTTATAACGGGCAACCCGTATGACCTCCCATAAGCCATGACCAGCATTTCCGCGCCGGCTTTCGTCGCGGAATATGGGTTTGTAGGGAGGAGCTGCGAGGCCTCGTGGTTTCCCACGACAGCATCCTCCTCAGTCTCCCCGTACACCTCATCCGTGCTGACGTGGATGAACCGCTTGATCTGGCCTTTCGCCACCTTGCACGCCTCCAACAGCACGTGGGTCCCGTAAATGTTGTTCTTGGTGAACTCAAAGCTGTTGCCGAAGGAGTTGTCGACGTGCGTCTGAGCAGCAAAGTGCATTATGGTGTCGATGGACTCGGTGACGAGGAGGTGGTTGACCAGGTCAACGCTCCCGATATCGCCCTTGACGAACTTGAAGTTGGGGGACGAGCGGGAAGGGAGGAGGTTGTTGAGGTTCGAACAGTAGTCTAGTTTGTCCAGAACAACAACCTTGTAATCAGGGTGGTGTCTGATGAGTCTGTTTGCTACATGAGATGCAATGAACCCTGCTGCTCCTGTGATGAGGATGTTCTTCGGCGTGTAGCTTTCCATCTTAAACCCGTCGAGCTTTGTCTGTTTATATGGCACAAACATTATACAAACGCTATCTATAATCAAGAAGAAATCTTCTAATCAAGAAAATTCAAACTTCTACAGTCTACATAGAGAGGGAGATGCATGAAATTTTGCAAAACAACAACAAACCCAGTATGATCCCTTGATGCATTGCTGCATCTATTACCCTAAACTTTATTGAAAGTAAGAATTTAGGGAAGTTTAAGGTGACAGTATATTATTAATTTTAGAGCTAAAAAGAATAGTATAAAAATGAGTCTCCTAACCCTATTGGCAAAACACAATATAAGTACACAATAACTACAGAACATGAACATTAAGAGAGTAAAAATGGCTTTTTGTGTTGTTCAGAAAGATGCAGTTGTTGCTGGTAAAAAAAATGCAGTCCAGTGAAAACAAGAATTTGCAGCTATTTATCTAGAAGGGTAGAAACACAGGTAAAATGCAGAGCTTGATAGACTCACAAGTTTGAGTAAAGTGGAGAGGAGGTTAATGAGGGAAGGGCTTTGGATATAGGTGAGGGAAATCAATCAAATTGTGTGGGTTTATTTATACCATAAGCTTCCCCTTGTTATTATCAACTACGGAGAAATATTATTTGTTTATTTGTTTGTTTTCTCTGTACTTATAAGTTGGAGTGCTTCTATGGTGCGCCTTGGGTGCATATCATTTTTGTGGATCTTCTCACATAAAAAATCTTTTTATAAAAAATAAATGCTTATTTAAGTAGTAAGGAAATGTTTATTTTGCTCATATGTAGATTCATAGTGGACCTTAATTCTACAATAGAATTTGCCTATAAGTTGACGTATACATTGCTTATAAGCTAAAAAAAATAAATAGGTCTTACATACTTTTTTTAGCGTCAGGTCTAATGTACTTATTTTTAAGCTAGTTTTTGAAATTTTGTTTTGACCAGATTTTTTATAAAACTATTCCTCACTATTTATGAATATTCCAAATGACCTATCTATCATTTAAGTCATTTTACTTCCATAAAAAAATACTTAACTTATAAATAATTTATAAATTAAAAATTATTTATCAGCAATAAGTCAACAAACACGCGTACCAAAAAGATCCCCAAAATATAACCAGAGTATATGAGAGTATTACTCCCTCCGTCCCAGAGTATTCATCTAGTTTTGACTTTTGGAACTGTTCATCTAAACACTTTGACTTATCAAATTCTCTCAATGTGTAAGCCTAAATATAGTCATGTGTGAACTTGTTTGATTTGTCTTAACATATAGATTATTAATATATAATTTCTATAATTTTTTAATATACAAATTACAAGATAAAATGGATTAAAGAAGTGTATTGGATGGTATGTAAAAATGAAAGTGGACAAATACTCTGGGAGGGAGGTAGTATTTTAGTAGCTTTGTTGAACCACGTGTTTAGCTTCACGTTCTGCTCTTTACCTACATGTACTAGTATATTATCACTTTCCTATATAGTATGTTGTACTTGTTGTGACTTTTAATGCTGCATTATATTTAGTAATCCGTATAAAATAACACAAATAAAAAACCATTTGAGTGAAAATATTTTTTAAAAAAAAATTGAAAAAGTTACAAAAAAAAAACTTTTAAGAAAAGCAAACGAACCAAAATCCCCTCACTTGTCTTCGATATTCTAATGGATTATAATGAACATTGAAATATCGAATTTGACATTTCTAACCCTGGCTCTGTTAGACCTGACATTCGAGTAGTAACTATTGGAACATTTAATTTCAGATTTTTACCACTTCTCCTTGTTGAGTTGGATTTTGTGGAGTAATTATCACTATTACTCGTAGTAATTATGGGTATGAGTCGCTTGATTCAACAATTGAGGGTGTTATATTCTCTACAACTTATTTTTTTACTTGTTACTAATTCTTAGAGGTTAGCGTTAGATTATTTATACAAATCATCAACATTATCACTATCAATAATCAAATTTAAAAAAGATATTTGATGTAGTCTTTAGCGTTAACATTTTTAAAATTAACCTGCATCATTAAAATTTTATCAAAAATATTGTTTCCAAACATGGCCAAAAGTTCTGAGCATTCAATTTTCTTATAAAATTATTAATGCAAATCATCAACATTATCACTATCAATAATCAAATTTGAAAATTAAATATTTCTGGAATTTGAGTAGATAAAGTTGGACAAAATATGTCTGCACCAACTTAACACATGAATGAATAGACCGGTCTTGTTTGGGTACAACGCTTTTAATTCATTTTATGAGTTTGGATAACTTTTTAACGGTACAAAACTTTAAAAATATTAATATTAAAAATTATCACACTAATTCGTAACCAATATTAGGCCATTCCATTTCATTTGGTAGTGGCATAACACTTCTTGAGTATGTATTCAGGTAGCTTTGCAGTGAGAACACCAATGAAATCAAATCATCCACCATTATTTTACAAAAACGGCATACGGTATAGATGTGGACACAAAATATATGTAATGTGGACCATTTCCCGCAAGTGCAGATGCGTTGGCTCAAAACATGACAATGCAAACAATTATCTTCCATTCTTCTGACCTCATTCCAAACATATTTTGGGAACTTAAGCCCTATTTGTAACCATGTAATTCGTCTGTATGCCTTTTTGCAAACATTTTAACTAATCTCTCGTACGTTGTATTCACGATAGCATATACCGAATGAGAAGAACATTCTTCAATACCTGATTGAAGCTTTCTAAAAGATTAGTGGTCAGGATTCCATACCGAGACCCACAATCGTAGCTTAGTGCCCACTTATCTAATGGTAAAGCCATCAATCAATCATATGCTTCTACCCGTCGTGTCTGAATCTTTTGCATTGTTCGATGAAATTTATAGACATCTGGGATACTGGATGCATGATACATCAAAGCCTTAAGCTTTTTGCTGTTGATTTTTTTTTGGAATTTGCTTCTGAGGTGTCGCAAGTAGTATCTACGTGTTACATGTTGTTCTCCTAAATGTGGGATTCTATTGAAATCTACATCAATCCCTCCGTGCCTATCAGAAATGATGCACACAGACATTTGAATGATTACTACATGACGCATTAAATGCATCATGAACAAACTCCAACTATCCCTGTCTTCTTTATCAACTAGGGAGTAAGCTAATGGAAAAATCTCATGATTTGCCGTCATTGCTACTGCTATTAAGAAAACTCCCTTGCATTTCCCGTATAGGTGAGTGCCATCAACAGAGACAACAGGAAAATAGAAGTTAAACCCGTCAATGGATGCCTTAAAAGTACAAAAAACATACATGAATTGAAATGTTTGAGGTGGCGCTGTGGGCAACATTTGAATCTTGGTCACTGGCCCAGGATTGCTTTGCATGAGCGTAGCTTGCAGTGGCAATAATTTGTTGTACGAATCCTCCCAGGACCCATACAATCGTTGAATCGCAATATACTTGGCCAACCAACATTTTTTGTACGTTACAGCTACCCAAAATAAGTCGAATACATCTTTAACGATGTGCCTCACCTTGTAATCTGCATCGGCTGCAATTTTAGAAAAGATAATACATGAAATAAGTTCGCTTGTGATAAGCTTGTCATCCTTCTCTTTGTAATAATCAGGTATACATAGAGAAGATGATTTAGGAGCTTGAATGAGCCATAAGCGTTGTTCGGGGTATGAGCACTTTGCTAGACAGTAACTTTTACGCTTTGAAGAAGTCCGAAAGTGTCTATGCTCTGCAATATTGCGAAGAGACACAGCAAATAGAAAGCTTTTGAAATCAGCGTAAATTTGGCCAATTTCGATCTCTGGAACACAGAACGTTAGCTCTAGAGATACTTGCCCAACATTCCTATGGATAGATGGTGCAATCTCGATCGAATTACAAACGATCGTAGGCTCCTCTATATACACATCCGTCATGCACATAGAGACCCATCCAGATACTTCTGACTCATCTGAAGAACTACTCTCATTTTCAGAATTACCAATATAAGTGTGATCGTCAGGGTCGTTTTTGTCATCCACACTTAGGGGCTGTTTGTTTCAGCCTCTTAATGGTTCAGATGTCTGAATGGTTCAGCACTTAATGGTTCAGACTGTTTGTTTCAGCCTCTTAATGGTTCAGATGTCTGAATAGTTAAAAAATTTGCCTCTGAATGGTTAAGTATTATACATAGTCTGAATGGTTAAGACCTCTTATCTGAATTGGTCAGACATTTGCCTCTGAATAGTTAAGCAATATACTAGCTCTTAATGGTTTAGACCTCTTATTGGTTCAGCACTTACCTATTCAGAAGTTGCCAAACAGCCCCTTAGTGCGGTGTTAGACAGCCCTGCTTCTTCCTCCATGTCATCCTCATGAAGCTCCTCTTGAACTCGGTGTGGCTCTAAGTACACCTCAAGCTCATCATATCGATTGGTGGCGTTTTGAATAAAGCACCTCCAAGTCCGCTCTTAGGAAATTAGGAAAGGGCGTGATGCAGCATATACTCCATCCTTGTATTTGGGATATTTCCCCCAAATTTTCTTGATGGAATCAAAACCATCTTCTCCAACAAGAGTGATGAATTCATTGAAGACTTGTTCAAAGGAGACTTCAAGATCAAAGACGAAGGCCTTGTTTGCATGCAATGAGTACTCCCTCCGTCCCGTTTTAAATCGCCCGTTTTGAATTTGGAGCATATTTAATGAAGAGAAAAAATAGAATTGACTTTCTGAAATTGTCATTACTTTTTAGGAGGGATGACGATGAATGAGAAAATAAAGTGGAAAAGAGTGACTTATTTTAGGGGTAGTTTAGGTATTTTACTCTTAAAAGTTTACGATAACAAGAAACATGCAACTTATTTTGAGTATGAGAAAAAAGAAAAACAGACAATTTAAAATGGGACAGAAAGAGTAGTTTTCTCCAAAAATATCATCCTACTTTGACTCTTTTTGTCTCTTTGAACTCAAATTAGATATAATGATAAATAAACAAATGTTTATAGAATAATTAGAGGATTTAAATAAATTTTTTTGGCTAAAAGCTTATATTAAATAATAGAACAAAAAAGTTTAAAGAAAATGAATATAATATACATTGAATATTAAATTTGAGTTCCAAAATTTTAAACAAATTGACCATAATAAAATAGATATAATAAACAAGTGTCACAATCTTTTCTCCCAAATAAAGTTTAAAAGCATTAATGATACAAGTAGTATTGTTCATCATTTGACTTTTGTGGATTGCACTGACAGGGAATGCTTTTTCAAAAGGTTCACTGGTAGGGAATTAATTCGGAATTTCCCAATCAATGCAGAACTTGAAAGTTCATTCCTTAGTCTGAAAAGATGACGGAGAAGATGGCCTCAATTCCGGACGAAGAGGCTGACGTCGAATTCAGATGGAGAGGGAGAATCGGAGAAGTCGATTTCAGAGGGAGAGGGAGATCGGTGATTTCAGAGGCGAGAGAGATTTGGATTTTGAGGCTAAGGATAGTTACTTTTATTGGAGTACAAAATAGTAATTATATATTTCATCCATCCCTAAATTGTGGCATTATTCAACCACGAGTTATACAAAAAATATATTTAGTTATAATATAAATTTAATAAAATTGGATATATTTTAAAATATATTTTTAAAATTTCAAAATTTTATAATATCTAATTATTTTTAACTATATTTAATTAATGATCAAAAAGTGTCACAATTTTATCAAAAAAATCAAATTGTGACACTTTTTTAGGGACGGACAGAATATATGTTAAAATTTTTTGAACGGGAACACTAGTTTGAC